AAGACTATGAGCTTGCAACAACTGTAACGTCGTCTGTGACGGATTCGGTCGATACCGCGTATGCGGATGATGAAATGTGTGTAGCGTTGCTACGGGATCTAGGGAGCAAGGGGTTTGGAAGCGTTGGTGTAGACTGTCTGTCGTCGAATAGGCACCGGTTGCGGTCGGACCAAAAAAAGTGAAGCGTCACCGAACGGAGAACGTGCCACACATCGCCGACAACATCTTCGCGGGCTATCCACTCGTCGAATACGCGCATCTTCGTTGCCAGAGCAATGTCGAGCCAAGTTGGCCGCGCGACGAAGAACTGAGACACAAGCGGAAGAAGCTACCGCCAGAGGTGCGATACGAGAGTGCAGTCGGAGAACAAGTGCTGCTCAGTCTCTATGGCATTGCACCGATCGGAAACGCATTTGCGGATGTCTGGGTGCGACGCCTCCAGGAATCAGAATCGCGAGCGGACTGGCAAAAGACGGAACGCCAGTCGAAACTGCAAGTCTTCGAAGATGGGGAGCAATATTGTACGCAGTCTCGGGCCGAATTTGACAAAAGACTTGATCTGTGCTTCGTTGACACGTTGCGAGTAGACAGTCATCGGGTGCGGTTTGCTTGGAGTTTCAAGTGTCCACACGGTACTCAGAAGTGCTGACTGTGGACATGCCGGAATCAGGAACACTCTAGCGCCACTTGCCAAGCCAAGATAGGGAAGTAAGCCTACCCTTGGACTTCTTGATAGAGGCAGGGCGAGTCGCAGCGCACCAAGTCTCGCCACAATCTGCGTCGTCTCCTTGTACAGTCTTCCAAGCCATTTTGCTTGCAGTTCAGGCGACGTAGACTCAAGAGTGAAGTCAATGTGTCGCTGTACAAAATCCTGTCGAGACGGCCACGCACTACCTGCAACCATGGAGTCCGACAGTGACCGCAGCCTGTAGACTCGTGACACATGCAGACGGAAGCTTCTCTGCGGCGCAGGCACCATGCCGATGCAACGATGACGAGCCACTGTAGTGCTTGATCGTTTAGTTTGCTTGTAATGCAGCTGAGCGTCGGCGTGGAACCATATCGGCTGCTCAAGTCCATACGCTGCTCGTTCCTCTGGGGGAAGGTCATGCCATGTTATCTTCCAGCGGGCTTTGTACCACAAGATCCATGACATTCGCCACCAAATCGACGCTACATTCCACTGAATTTGCTCACCGTGCCGGAGTGGAGAGATCGTGAGGAAGTCCAACGCGTTGCGCTTGCCGTAATGTGGCAGTATGGACACCAGCAACTCGACGTTCGCCGTGGTCCAATTGCGCTCGGTAGTCGCACTAGCCGCACGCATGAAATGCAGAAGTAGTGAGAGACGCTGACGTTTGAAGTGCGCATCTAAACATGGGACGCCAAGTCCTCCGTCGCTTCGTCTCTGATAAACGAACTCACCCGGAATGAGCTGCACGTGCTTCGCGTCTTTGTCATGTTTGCGGCTCAGAATGAATCGGTTCAGCATAGACTGCCAGCGTCGCACGACTGTCTATGAGACTGAGATATGGAGCATGTAGTGCTACAGGCGCGAGAGAACCATCGTTTGTACAACGAGAAGTTGACCACGAAGCGTTCGCGCACGTCGGTCCTACGCCTTAATGCCGTCGTAGAAGCGTTGATCCAAGAGCTTGACGATTGTGTTGTCGACTGGAGCTTGGCTGAATGGGATGCCTAAGTACTTGACAGTTTCGTTGCGACCGAGCACGTGGACGTTAGGCAACTGAGGACAGTCTACCTTCCGATTAAGCGCCAATAGCACCGACTTGGCAAGGTTAAGCTTCGCTCCAGAACCTTCACAATAATCCGCTACGATTTCAAGCGGTGCCTGCAAGTTTGCAATCGAACTGGCGAGAAGAGTTGAGTCGTCTGCAAAGAACGTGCCCGTTACGGTGTGGTCTGCGCTCAAGCACACGCCATACTCCTCGTGTGCGCGCAGCAGATTTCCCAGGGGCTCGATTGTAAGAATAAAGAGTAAGGCAGACAATGGATCGCCTTGCTTCACGCCGCGTGTTGGATGTAGTGCCGGCAGGATATTGCCATTAATAAGTAGGTGGGCTTGTGGTCTGGTGTACAGTAGCTGGATCCAAGCGATGAACGTTTTTCCGAAGCCCATGCGCGCCAGCAGTCGAAACATGTATGCCCAGTTGACGCGATCAAACGCCTTTTGGAAGTCTAAGAACATTGCATATGCCTCTTCGTCTCGATTCGTGACGAGATCTTGCAAGTGGGCGAGGATGCGCACGTGATGATGAATGGAGCGACCTCAGACAAAACCCTTCTGATCTGAATGAATCAAGTTGACAATCACATTTTGCAGCCGACACATCAGCGCTTTTGACAGAACTTTAACGTCGACTGGCACGAGCGCGATTGGTCGGTAGTTACCCGGCTCAGCACGCAAACCTTTCTTGTGTAGCAGTACTACCGCCGACTTGCGCTGGGACACTAGGAGCTCGCCGCGTTGGAGTTGATCGTTAAAGACGATCGCCAAACACGTATGGTACTACTTGGTAGAATCCAGCAGTCAAGCCGTCCATCCCTGGAGATGATGTCGCCTTCATATGCCGGGTCGCACAAGCGAGGTCTGCTGTCGTCAGCTCAGCATCAAGCATCTCGCGATCGGAGGCTGTGACGAAACGCAAGACCAAGTCAAGAAGCTGGCGCTGTTTGCCGTCATCGGGTGGATGCGCCATTCCAGTCGGACTATTGGCATCCCCCATCTCAGACCCCCAATGTTCAATGAATCGCAGCGAGATTTCTTGAGGGTTCATCAAGACATCTCCATTCGGTGTAACGACTTCCTCGATGGAGACACGCCGTAAACTTGCGTCCAGTGGACGGAAGAAGTGCTTGGATGAACTTTCGGAGTTAGTTGCTTGGAAGTCGAATGCATTGCCTTGGCTGTACTGGCTTGATCTTAGCACCGTCTCTTTGTAATTACGCATCGCTTCGTCGAAGAGCTCACTGTTGTCCCTGTTCGACGATACGCGATACCGCTCGGCAGCTTGATCCAGCACGACACGAGCGGCTTCAACATTTTGCAAATCTTGCCGTCGTAGCATCTTCTGCACGCCTTGCAGCTGCGCCTTGATGTTCACCTTCCACGTCTTCCAAATTTTGCCGGGGTTTTCAGCAGCACGTAAATGATTCCGGACGAGCTCGGTTTCCTTTTCGATCGCAGAGACAATCTTCGGATAGTCAAGCAGTTAACGGGTAAACTTCCAGTATCCTCGACCGTGGAGCTGCGTGCCCGAGCGGAGCGAGACGCTGTGTGCAAGGTGATCACCAGCGTGTTTGGGCAGGAAGTACCCGGACTTATCATAGTAACGGTGGCAGAATTTATCTGACAGTAAGATGCAGTCAAGCCGATTCTTTCGCGGGAGTGAACCGGTGAACACGCGTTTGGTGTCGAAGTGGATGCGCCGCGCATCGACGACGCAGAGTTTCGCGAGCAACTCCAGACAACTGGAGCGACTCGGGTCGTAGCGTAGATCGGGCTTCGAACAGTCCAATCTTGGGTCGAGTGGTGTGTTCAAGTCACCACGCACAAAGTGCGTCGCGTCATCCTCGAACTCGTCGGTTGGCAAATCTGCGAAGAACTTCTGCTTCTCTTGTCGATCGACAGGCGCAAACATGTTGTGAATGTAGACGGGAGCAAGATCGACCATCAGTTTTACGACGAGGTAGCGTCCCGGCACTGATAGTCGCGAAAGCTGAACAGCCGTATCAAAGCGGGGAAGATCGAAGCGCAGAAGCGTCAGGACGCCGCTGCTTCGACCATTCGTGGGTCGATGCAGCAGCGCGTTTGATTCGTTGACGAAAAGTTTGTGTTTGAAGCTTGAGTTGAGGTGAAAGCTGAAGGTCGAAAGATGCTTTGCGCTGCCAAACTTGGTTTCTTGAACACACGATATCGAGTGCTTGGTTGTTGATAAACAGATGTCCGTTCTCTTTAATACCATTCGTGTTCACGGTCATCAAAGACACGGCGTTTCAGGCGTGTTGTACTGCCGCGACAACTCTAGCAGCGAGCGGGTAAGCCGCCCGACACTGGAACCATCAAACCATCGGTGTCCACGTGAAGCTTTAGCATCGATGCTTCGCCCGGATACAGCCATCGAGCTTGCGCAGCGCTTCCAAGTCATCAAGCAAATGACCCTGCCATTGCACTTCTTGTCACTGCTGCATGCAGAGCAAGCCGATGTCCGACCGAAGCAAAAGCAGTAGTGTGTTCGGGTGCAGGAAGTGCGAATGATGTGCTGGGATCCATTCGACCGGTTGACCAGTGAGGTACTGAATCCAGTGATCATTTTTGAAAAGTATTGGCGCGATCGACATGAGCGCGAGCTCGAATATGCCGAGCGCCTTCGACGCACGTGACAGCTCCGTGACTTCGTCCGTATGAGTCCACCACCTGGCACACGCCTTGAAGACGTCATGGCGATTCGACGGGACGGCCATTCCCATGATACGCATCCACTTTGTCAAGAACGTCGTGTCTTCGTTGGGATACGTCGCGCTCATCACACGGTTGATCAAGTGCAACTGCGCGAGATCGCCG